TGATATTTGATCAAAGTAATTCAGATTAAAATGTTAGTGACTGAAGAATTGGGGTCAGTAACTTGGCAGCCTGTTTCTGGAAAGTTGCACACCTGTGCTCTGTACAGAGTCACTATCTTGTCTGTGAGTGTCAGAAACAGGCTCCGTGCAACTCTTATAACAGAGAGCATAGTTTCCTAATCTTTCATGTTCAAACTGTGAAATGCTGAATAAATTTGAAATACATTGAAGACATTCGGAGGTAAAATTCTGGTAAAATAAAAATGGAAAATATAGTAGCACCAGCGCTAAGAGCTTGGTTCTCTTACTAATGAGTAGTTTGGCTTCTTGCTACTCAGTTAACTGCCCCGAGCCTCAGTCTCTCAGCTGTTAAAATGAAGGTGAATGAGTCTTAAGGTTCTTTCTTGTTCTGAAAAGAATGAGCCTTTTGAGTTCCAATATGCTGGGGTAGAAAAATACAACAGATGGGCCCTAATATATAATGAAAGTAGTATATATTGGGATATTTGTTAAATTATAGACTTTTTCTCATACTGAGACTTGTCTGAAGATCAGTTTTATTATTTCACTTGTTCTTCAAAGATCGTTTCATAAACAAACAAACAAACAAAAACAAACCAAACCTTTTCTGAATTTCTTCTTGGCTTATTCACTTATTGGTATAGTATGCATTTTACCCTGGTCCTGCTGTGAATCTCTAGTGTAGTCCTATGAGTCATTAAATATATTTTTATTATTAGAGGAGTTTTGTATATAAAACCTGAATCCTTTTATATAACAGTTGTAGTGATATTCTGAGTAACAAAGTCAACATCTTGTGCAAATTCCTTTCTCATTAGTTATCATAAGGTGGTGGGGGAAAAGAATCTCAGTTTTTCTATTTCATATTGGCAGAACTCAAGCCAGAAAGGAATTGATTTTATCGAGGGTGTCACCATACTAAGACATTCCTCAGAAAACCCCGAGGCTGCTTTGGGGTGGGGAGGGAAGAAAAAAGGGAGTTTCGTTTTACAGTTGCTTCTTTTGGGTCCTGAATTTTCCCATCCCATCATCTACCATTCATAGATGCTTTGCTCCTCTGGATGCTTTTGGATTCTGGCTCTTATACTTAACTGTTTCTAGGCAAGTAAATTGAACTCAGTATTCTGGTTATCTCTTGCTACATAATACACAACCCCCTAACTTAGCGGTTTGAAACAGAACTTTATTATTATATCTCAGTTCTGCGATATGACGAGGCTCATCTGAGCAATTGGCACTTGGGATTTTCCATGCAGTTGCAGTGAAATATGGCCGAGGCTGGAGTTATCCGAAGGCTAACTGGGGTGGAGTGCATTTACGTGACTAACAGTTGATGCTTCCTGAGAGCTCAGCCAGGGTTGTTGGTTGGATCATTTACATGTGGCTTCTTTGTGTTTATGATACTGGAAGAAGCAGCTTCCGGGCAGTTAAGGCTATACCTAAAACTGGCCCAGTGTCGCTTTCATGTATTCTGCTGGTTAAAGCATGCGTGGAGCCTTCTGAATTTCAAGGGGGGCCAAGAAAAGGATCCCATCTTTTGATGGATGAGTGTTTAGGTTAGGTGAGTTGTGGCTCTCTTTGGAAAATGCAGTGCGATGCACTGAGCCTTAATTTCTTGTTTATAAGGGAAACTAACATTGATAATGGAGCCGTAGATTCAAGGATTCAATGAGTATTGCCTAGCATACTGTCTCAATATTTAACAAATGGTAAATATCATTATTGTTAATGTCTTCATACCAGTCCCATCTTGGGCTTTCGAATTTCTAAAATACGATTGCCTGGTACGTTGGCATTATTACTACCAGGTAATGGTGACGCCTTATGTCCAAGGAGATGAGGCAAATGGATTCACTAGATTTAATTTTTACTTAGAAGAAAGTCTCATGGCTCAGTGGAAGCCTTGAATAATTTGGGAGAACCAAGTCGTTTTTTTCTCCTTTTTGCTGTACAAGGATTAGAACAGCCTTAGGTACCTAAGGCCAAATTTGTCT